AGAGAGAGAGAGAGAGAGAGAGAGAGAGAGAGAGAGAGAGAGAGAGAGAGAGAGAGAGAGAGAGAGAGAGAGAGAGAGAGAGAGAGAGAGAGAGATTAGTGTGTTAAACAACCAGTTCGTTCCCAAGCCAAAGAATACAGTATTCGGCTTGCAATGCAGCCACAACTTTCGGGGCTTGGCCTCCTGAGCAAAATGGCTGGTGGTGCCAGCCAAAAGGAGGACGAAGCTGGTTCGTTCTTTTTTGCCACGTAGGGCGTTTCCAAGCCTGGATGTGCACCGTCGTTTGAGGGAGTCCTCTCGAGGCACTGCTTGGTTTGGAAGGCTATGGGAGACCAGCTGGTTTCAAAAAGTTTATCACAGTCTCAAGTGTGTTGTTTGTGATCGTGGCAGTGCAACTTTATCAGAGTCTGTCCGCAATTTGTAATGGTTGTAGGTTGAGGTTTAGTGGCATGCGCATTTGGATTTGTCAGTTGAAGTTGACACTTGTGATGTGTACTGTAGGCTTGTCCTGTGAAGTCGTGGCTACTGGAACAAGAGGTGGTGATTTGATTCCACATGTGGAGTTGTAATGATATCAGATATATGTTATACGTGAAGTGACGAGAAGCCGTGCCTGTTTAGTCGAGTGCTTCTGATGTGTATTGTGAGCATTCATTCTCTGAGAGTCATGAATCCTATAAAGAATATCATGTGCAATAGAACCTAGTGTCTGTGCATTTGACAGACGGCCAACCATCCGATGACAATCTGTTGGGTGGGATGATGCTCTGTTTGTAGAATTGACTTCAAAATTCGGACAATCGAGTTGGATGGGAAGCGCATCAAGCTGCAAATTTGGGATACAGCTGGTCAAGAACGGTTCCGTACCATCACCACAGGTTAGCACATAACTCTTTGGCCCTCTGTGCTCTGTTTCCTGTTGGGTTTTGACTATGATTGTGCTGCTTTGCCAGGTTGGTTGGTGTTATGCCGGAATTAAAATGACTCCTTGCGACCATGACGTACCCATACTTAGTGGAAGCAGCTCACACTCGTTGAAAACTTTGCATAACCGAAATTGAATATGCATATGAGAATCCTGGATGAAATCCAGAACCACATGTAAACCTGCATGCGGTGATCCCTATGGACCAGACTGAAAAATGGTGCAGTATACTGTGCGAGCTCGAGGCTACAGCTGTGCCGATTCCCGTTCTTCGTAGTGCTAAAATTAAACCACCAATACACGGCCCCTGTCTTGCAGAAATCTGTTTGCTGTGAAAATTTTACTGCTCGGGTCTACCGGACCCAGGCGTTCATTTGTATGCGATGTAAGCAAATCATGTGTAGTATGCACGTGTACCATGTCCCTCGCCCACCTACATGGGTACAACATCGTTTCCCAAAATGTTTTTATTTTTGGCTGGTGGGGGCTGGTGGAGTCTCATACACAGTGATTTCAATCCCGCGATGTGAACAGGGCGGAAACCGCCCTGGGCTGTACTCCCACCAGTCTACCACTACGAATACTTTGTCCCTTTCCTGCAGCGAAGTGCTCCCCCACCTCCCATAAAAAACAAAAAACCATGTCTCCCCCCCCCACACCTCGGCCGAAGGTATTGTATGTGCAGTCCACAGTAGTGTAGACATCGCATAGAACGGATACAAAGTGTGTTCAGTCCCAGGACTATCAGCAGAGTATGCATAGACAATGCTAACATAGTCCATGGTGTTAGTATTGTGCATAGTCTGCCGGCAGTCTTGAAACTGCAGACTTTGCACCCGTTCTATGTGCATTCTACACAATGCAATACGGGTGCTAGTTAGATGGTACTGTTCATGGCAAATTTTGCAACCTTATCGAGGTTGTTTCGGACGTATCCTTCCTAATACACTGCTATGAACTCATCCGAGGTAATCCTGGTAATATGACTCCGGGAGCGAAATCATATAAGTGTACTCCGCCTCCTTTCCCTGATACAAGCCCACTTGACAATGGCAACATGTCTATCTGCGTCTCTCGCTCTTTCTCTGAAGTGCTGAGCCTTCCATGTGGCAGGGTCCGACAGCACCTCTTCTCCCTCTCTCTCTCTCTCAACTGCCGTGCCTGCCACGTGGAAGCATGCTACAACTCTCTTTCTCTCTCTCTCACAACTGCTGCGTCTGGCGTGTGCCAGTGTCAAATAGCGCCCTCTCTCTCTCTCTCTTACGCATGTTACTGAAGGACAACAGGAACACTTTGCAAGTCAGTGCCCTGGGGTGTGCAGCAGACAAACGGTCGAATGACAAGGCTGCAATGACTTGCTGGTTCCAGGTTGCCTGTAGCCTCTCTCTGACGAGGCTGTACCATAGGTTTGTTTGGCTGAGGGCTAACCGAGAGACCTACCTGTAAGGAAAATTGGTGAGGGACATATTTGTAAATGTAGGAAACATGGGCCCAATACTAACTCGAATTTCCTACAGCTACCCTAACTGCGAATAACACGCCCGGGCTACCCCTAGGACAGACAGGCCCAATGGGCCTACGCTGATAGACGGTCCTATAGCCTAGCCGGGTAGGGAGAGGCCGTAGAGGCCGAAACAGAAACGGTGCCGGTCGGTCAATTGGTCCAGTCTAGGTCGTGTCTAGGCTAGTTTAGAGTATAGATAGGATGGAGACTTCGGTCCGGGGCTTTGGGGCAGTTGACACTTCGTGGTGGAAGTTGCTGCGCACACGGTATCAGGTCGTGGTTGCTGATTCCAGTGTGGGAGACGGCGGACATGGCCAGACCTTCGGAGCGCTGACCAGACTGGGGTCAACGCTGTCCGCTCTGACTCTCTGGGAGTCAAAGCGGTCTTGGCTATCGGAGGTCGGATGCGTTGGAGCACGTGGTGCACTGCTGACCCTCCTCCGGAGTAGGGTCCCAGTGGGATGCAGCCATAGCTGCATCTTCTCAGATGATATCATCGTCTGGACTACATCTTCATCAGGGACTGTTGACGCTGAGCTTCTTCTTCATCATCTGGGTGGCGATAGGCTCTGGGAGCCTGTTTCATCTTGGCTCAGGCCACCGAGTTGGATGTCAGGGTGGCGCTGGGTGTTACCTGGGGTTCTGGTGCTATTTTTAGCTGCTCGGTGCGTGTGGGGTTGAGGCGCTACCCCTCTGAGGGTAGCGCGACAGGGTTCTGAGGTTATTCAGTGAAAACGATGCTCTGAGTTTAATAAACAGTTGTATTACTGTGTTTGAGTTGTCATCTCTTCATTGATTTCTGTCTGTGATCACTCGGTTGTCTTCTATGAATGATCATTGGGACCTGTGTGGAGAGAATCTACAGTTTTGTGTGTTCTGTCACTTCGCTCCTCTGAGTCTTCCGCTGCGTTCTTTCTGTTGGGCGGTGTGACACTCCACTACCTCTCCCCTTCCTTCTGTGCATGTATGGGCATGTACGGGAGTTCCTGTGAGTGAGCGTTGATAAAATTTCAACGGACAATCATGTTCATAACAAAGCCCCCAAGGCATTTGTGCCGTTGTCCTAGATGATCCTTTTGTCTGTATCCTGTTTTGGCCTGATGAGACGTCCAAAAGAGGCCCAAAAATGGCTTCCGAAAACACACACAAAAAGGTATGTCAAAAAAAAATCTTCTATATTTCCTATCAACTAAACTTCAGGGCCTGCTGCCCAATGTTTTTTTTCACCAAGGGTAGCTTACAACCGAGTACAGCGTAGCTTTTATATGCGGTGCGAAAGAAAAAAGGGAATTTTTTTAAAATGCCCCTGAAATTTTTCTTTATTTGCGGTTTGCCCCTCTGACGGCTTTTCACCCTCTCAAGGCAAATTTGCGGTTTGCCCCTCTCACGGAAATTTTTTGAAATGCCCCTGCGTTTATTTGCGGTTTGCCCAAGTCCATGGAAAACAATGGAGGGAGCAGCAGAAAGATAGGAGCATGTGCAAATTTCTGGTATGCCCCGGTAGCAACTCTCCCAGGGCCAGGGGAACGGGTGCCACTGCCAGCAACGGGCAGAAGGGCATACTGAAAAGATGCATGGTACCGGTAGAGGCATATAAAAATTTATTGTGGTTGTAGTCAACGGCTAAGCATACTGGAAATTTGGCACCGGTACCGGTAGGGGCACATTGAGAATTTCTCAGGCCCAATGGACACCAGGGGGGTTTCTGGAAACTTGAATCGTTGTCAGAGGGGCAAATCAGGGTAAGTCGGCCGTTGGAGGGACAAATCGCATATAAACACAAATTTCAGGGGCCTTTTTTCAAATTTTCCAAGAAAAATACATTGTAAGCGTGGCATGCTATGTACTGACCACAATGGCTGGCTTCATCAGCCTAAAAAGAAAAAAGGTGTGCTGTTATGCTGGGAAAGCTTGGCATGCAGCAGCGCCTCCAAGCCCGGGTGTACTGGTGGTTCAACACTGCTTGGCTTCATCTATGCTACGAACTAGTTGAACCCACGTCAAGGTCGGTAGGCAGTAGGGACTGCATACTACAGCCCAGGAGGACTATGGCTGGCTTGCTCAAGAGACTTCACTGTTCAGTGTATTCTCATTTGGTTTGTTGTTGATTTTGGTGTATTCTCATTTGGTTTGTTCTTGATTTTGGTATTCTTCTTTCATCTCTGCTCAGATGTGTATGTACCGCTACGAGTTCTCATTGATTGGTTCCGTGCATTTTGGTGTCAGAGTGGATTCTGTGACCATTGTCACTCATGTTGCGAGTCAGGTCCTATGGTGCCGGCCATGTGCAGCGGGGAGTTTTATTGACTTTCTTGCCGGCTGGTGAGGAACTCGTGCTCAGGGTAGTGCGAAAATGGGTGGAAGTATTTTGGTGCTTGCTGCTGCTTAACCACCAGTCCATCTGAAGTGGAATTGATGAACGACAGAGTGCATTTTGCCGGGCCGAAAGTGAACTGTAACGGCCTTTGGAAAAATGAAGGTGGTACCTGTACCGGCCTTGAACGAATGGAAAGTCAGGACTCTTGGCCCAGTATATGGAACAAGAAACAGGCCTTTTGTGTTCTCAATTGATTGCTGTTTCTGGCCTCAGTCAGGGGAAGATGGTAGCCCCCCAGTGTTTTTGGGCAGCTACCAAAAAAGTTATCAGATACCTGCTGTCAATGCCAGCTGCCTCAAGGAGTCATTTTAGTCCTGCTCCCTTGGTTGCTGTCAAATAAATGTTGTCAAAAGTGCTCTCTGTTGGTCCACACGAATTGGTCTACAGTAGTAGTCAGGCTGGGTGTGTGTGGTTCTGGGTGGCGAAAAGCTAGTGTTGTTACTGGGTGGTATTAGCGAAGCGATGGTTGGTTTCCTGGTCGGAATTGGGTGGGGTAACAATACGCCCGGTTATGTTGGGTCTGGCTGCTGTTCTTCTTGGAAGGCCTGGCCTGGCGTTGTTGTGGGTGCCAACTGTCATGAAGGCTTGGTTGAAGTCGGGTATCAGTTCGGGAGAAATTGTATTTTGTGAGCTTTGTAATACAGTGGGCAGAACTCTTAGGGTGACTATTGCTCCTTTGGACGTGGAGCCAATGATTGACCGGGAGTGTGGAGCAGGTTATCGGCCATCGGAGGCTTCTGATGTAACAGATTTTGACTGGGGAATTCCAGGCCTATCGGACCAATTGCACTTCCTAAAGGGGTATCTTGTACTGCATGGCTTTTGGTGGCACTGTGCAAGTGTCGTGGCAAAGCTGGTCCAGAAAGTCGTCACTCCTAGCCGGAATGTAAGGGTGTAACTGGGATGGATGGAGCATTGGCTGCAGCCATGGATGAACTGGCATATCGATGGCAAACGAGTGTCTGCTGAGCTGGTAGCGAGCTGTGGAGGGGATGGGCCAAGGTTTGAACCATTTGGGAAGTAGCGGTGAGATGTCTTGCTTGAGGCTGAACTCCTTGAAGGAAAACGATCCCCCAAGTCTTCTTTGCGGAATGGGCAAGGCAATTGGCATCGGTTAAGCTGTTGCTGCATGCTCTTTTCCATCTTTACATGTTGTTTTTTGGTTTCATGAGCAGTTCCCGCACCTTCCGTATGGAGCGAGTTGTGCAAGGTCAATGTCGGCTGCTAGTGGTAGGCGGGAATCAGCAAAGAGTTGTCCTCTTTTTGACTGCCCAGGTCAAGCTCAAATAGGGACACGCTGCTCATCACATGGTGTATTGTAGGGGAGCTTGATGTCAGCAAGGATGATATTTCCCAGCATCGCCTATGTAGTCTGATGCCCCCACGTAGTCTGTCCACTCGTTTGTGGATGTGGAGCGTAACTCTATTTTATTTCAGATCCGGAATGCTTCATGAGAATCTAAAAGTTGGAAATTAAACTTCCTTTGGGACGTTAGGGCTGTAAATCTCGCTAGTGCACAAGATGTCTGACTGCTCACGGGCAATGTTATGGTACTTGCAAGGGGAGCGAGCACACATTCTTGAAAGCTGCCAAAATGCCCTCGTGGTGGCCGGGCTTCCGTGGAATCGGTAATGGTCATAACTTGTCGTTTTTCTTCCCCCCCTTTAAACCACCAGTCCAAGGGAATACAACGTGGAGACTGCAAACAACTGTATGTTGTCGTGGTTGCCAGTCTTGCAGCATGGTAACAACATTGGAAACCTGAAACACTGCTTTTTCCATGCAGCGCCACACTACTCGATGTCTGAGATACAGCACAAAAGAGAAAAAGGAGGAAGAAACTAGTTTTTGTGAAACCGTCAGAGTGGGCCAAGCATGTGATCGTCTTTTACCTTCAGTGCTATTCAAAGGCTCCGCATTTCAGAATGAAAAAACAAATGAATGACAATATAAGTGTTGGTTTAGGTCTAAAATGCTTACTTTGCTCTGTTCATGTCATTTCCCAAAGTGGTTGTTTCTGTCACTGGTTTGTTTTTCTTTTCTCCCTGACCTGTTTATTCTTGTCTTTCACTCGGGATGGCGCGCTGTTTGCATGGTCTTCCAAAATTGCGGTTTTTGGGCATGTGTTTGCTGGGTTTTGGGGTATATGCTGAGACACTTTCTCCTTTGGGTATGTTCTGACTGGGTGGAAATGCCTGTGGTCTGGGTCTTGCAGCGTATTACCGAGGAGCTATGGGCATTCTGCTGGTTTATGATGTCACTGATGAGGCATCTTTCAATAGTATCCTTCTTGATCTGACGAGTCTGTTGCAGTTACCCTTGATCTGATGAGTCTTTTGCATCAGCAATGGTCATGGCTTTGACTGCACTCTTCCGGCTGTCTTTGTGTTCTGTTGATGGAGTGGTTTATGTAATTGCTCTAAGTAGACGATTCCTTCTGGTCATTAACTAAATTATTTAGTACTGGGGCGGGAGGTATGTGGGTTTGATCTACAAGGGTGGGAGGGGATGTTGGAAGGGGATTCATGTGTTCATTCACACTCTGTTTTGTGCAGTTTCGGTTTTTCTCCAGGTGTAGACCCTCATGGTGAATGGTTTTGGCCCATCACAGGTTTAAACCAGCTGGGAATGGGAGGTGGGTAGAGCTCCCTTATTTCTTTTCCTTGAATATGTTAGTGCTTGTATGAGAGGGAAAAAAATGCACACATGCGCACATTCACATGACATCTTAACAAGAATGGACAGCAAGTGTTTGCTCTGGGTTTATTTCAGAGTACATGAAGTGTAGAGCAGGTCTGCAGTGGGCCTCTGTCTGCCCTGGCCTACAGCCAGAGCCTATTCGGCTATTTGCCTGTTCGGCCTGTGGGACCAGGCCGTGGCCCGACCCCACAGGCCATGTGCTGTTTCAGTCCAGTCCAGTCCTGCGCGGTACCAGGCCAGTCCAGTCAGTCCGCTGCAGTCTGTATTCTGGTTCATTCTGCATTTGCACACTTTGGAGTACTTGCATGTTGAGTCTGCTTCAGAGCTGCGCTGTCCCTTCCAGCTCCATCTGCATCTCCTCCTTCCTCAACCCTCCGTGTTGATCCTGACGGACCGCCATCCCGGCGGGTCCGTCACACTGGTATCAGAGCGGGAACGGTCCCCGCTCCAACCCGTCCGACCTCCAGTAACGGAGGGAAATTGCTGTAATCCCGATAGCGGGATTTTCAGGGTTTTTCAGGGTGGAGACAAAGAGAAACAGCGAAGAAAAGCAGCAGCGTGGAGAGGCGGACACGTGGCGAAAAAGGAGACTGGCGCCAGTATGCGTGCGCGCAAGCGCCAAGGCCGTCGCACGCGCGCCACACGCCCACGCCGCCCCGCCCCGCCCCCGGATTATATATCAGTAAGATCCGGGATGCTGCTGCTGCCAGGGTTTGAACCTGGGCAGTTGCCACTCATGCGCGTGCGTGGCCAATGCCTTATCACACTGGCCAAAGCCACAATGTGAGCTGATATCGTGGCTCGGTGGTGTTGAAGAAGTGCCACGGCAGCTATTTACCTCCTGTCGGCGAGCGGCGAGCAGCGTGCGGCAAGACAACTATTTGGTCCCCCCCACCCCCCCCGGGTGGTCGTGGTTGCTGCCGCCTGCACACGTGACTGGTATCTGGTGCCTATCTGGAGTGCCACGTGGCCGCTTGCTGTGGATCTTGAAGACCCCCCTGGCTAGGGGGCTGCACTACTGTGACATCTGGGCTGCTGACCAAGATCTCAGCCCACCCCAGATTTTTTTTTGTTGATGAATTAAGGATTCCATGGATTGTTTCATTTAAGAGCGTGAAGGAGGACAAAGTTTACGATCATCCGCTTTGATCATGCCACTAGGCATTTGATTCAAGCATTGGACAATGATTCAAAGACTTTGCCGCATTTCTTCAATGCGGACACAACAACGATCATAACAATCTCCTCGTGTATCAGGCCAGCAGCATCTTGAAGGCCAAGATCCTCTGGATCTTGGCAGTGCTCTGCTCTTGGCCACCCAAGAGCTTGGTATTACCATCCTACCCACTAACCTACTCTCCCCCAAACCCTTTTCTCTCTCCCCCCCCCATCTAATCATCCTTTCTAACCCTACCACTACCTCCTTCTACCTCCCTCTTCACTCATCTTCCACAACCTTTTCTCTCTCCTCTCCTCCCCACTCACCATCTTCCTCCCATTCCACCTTTTCCATATCCGTCTTTCCCATTCTACCACCGTCCACTCCCTCTTCCCCCCCAACTACAACCCCATGATCTTCTCCACCTTTTCCATATCCTTCTCTCCCATTCTACAACCGTCCTCTCCCTCTTCCCCCCCAACTACAACCCCATCATCTCCCCCATCTCCCCCATCTCCCATTTCACTCTTTCTCTCTCTCTTTCTTCATCACTCTTTCATCTCCCTTCCCCCCCAACTTCAATTTTTTTTCTTTTTCTTTCTCTTGGATTTAAATCTCCTCTTTTTTTTCCCAAAAATTGGAATTATCTTTTCCCCACCTTTTTTTCTTATTTTCTGATCTATTTTATTTTATTTTATTTTTGTTTATTCTGAAAATTCGAATTTCTTTGTGGCACCCTCAAGTCTGATTAGGACTTAGTGCAAGGAAGATGAGCAATAGCGAATTCCAGAACTCAAACAGCACCATACATGAGTGACCAAATAGCCATGACCTCGAACCATAAGCAGAATGGCATCACGAGTTATACCAAATAAGAACACATCAATAGTTCATAATTGACAATGCTGAAGTTGTCTCTCATCATCATCAACAAAGAGAGTTGGTATCCTATTGGCGCTCGGCGCCCAGACTACAAGATGGCAGATCCTATCTAGCCTACTACTACAATGCCGAAGTTGACGTCAACAGCTTCACCGAAGTACGAGCATATGCGGCCAATGCCGCTCGCCTCAAGCACCAGGTATGACTCCCGCTTCGCTCTCAACCCCGATCCTCACCGCACAGATGCCTCTAGCATCCAAGGACCAACCTGCGCCCAACCCAACTTACAGCAGGCAGCGTGGCTATGGCTGCCTGCTTCTTCCACACTCGCCCGTGAGTGCGAGGGCGCCAGCCAGTAAATAGCGCAGCAGCGCTGTCGCTGCATGCAGCCAGCACCCGAATGTCAAATGAGGAGGCAGGCCCTTTCCTTTATCCCAGTGACTTGCCTGCGTCCAGTCCAAGAAGCTTCCAGTAGGCCCCGGTAGCCTGAGGCCCAGTCACGAGGAATGCAGGCATTGGGCCTGAAGTAGTTGCATGTGCCTAACTGCTTTCGGCCTGTGCCTGGCCCGGTACCCGTACCCAGCCCAGGGCCTGCTTTACATTCATTCACACGGGCGGCCCAGGGCCTGAGTTCATTCAACCAACTGATGCTGTGCAACTGCCTGAATTTCCCCATTTGCGGGGGTACCCTGAAAACGAGGCCCTGAGGGCCTGTCGTGCCTGCCTTCACTTAGGGCGGCCGACCTTGCTGCAAATAAGACCCGTAGGGGCTAAGCGGGCATAGCCTCGCATTAGTCATTCTTGCTTTCGACACACATTTTGATCCTGTGGGGGTAACGAAGTGCTGTGATTTTTTTTTTTTCCTTCATATTCAGCATGTTTTGACCCCTTGGGGGTAGCATAGTGCTGGTAAAATCTTCTCATTTTACTTGGCCTTTCTTCTTAACGGCACACTTCGACCTCATGGGTGTAACAAAATGTTGTGGAAAGTTTTGAAATATCCAACACTTAGTTTCTCTTCACCTCCTCGTCTACTTATTTATTTATTTATTTATTTATTTATTTTTTTGAAAATTATAATTTTTGACATTGTAACTTAAGTGTGCTTCTCTAAGTCTCTCCTTCCTCTTTGCACCTTTGTGATCCCATTGGGGTAGGAAAATGTTGCCAAAAATTCCAAAAAAATAAATATTCTTTATCTTTTCACCTTTCTTATTTATTTCTTTATTTATTTTTATTCTTGTTTTATTTTTATTTTGAAATTTCTTTGATTATTTTATTTTCTTGATTAGGTCGCCGCTACCCTACCCTAACCACGCAAACCCCGGTTAGAGTTTTCTTAGGGTTTTTCAAGGTTTAGGGTTCTCCTATCCCCCCTCCACTCCCGCTTCCTCCCGTTAGGCACCCTAAACCCGAACAAACCCCGGTTAGAGTTTTCTTAGATTTTTTTTAGGGTTTAGGGTTCTCCTAATCCCCCTTCTCTCCCGCTTCCTTCCGTCAGGCACCTTGGACTCGAAGAACTCCTCTCTCTTCGAGCAGATTCGTGCCACCATCTCACGCGTTACCCGCTGGTCACGATGTGAGCTGACTCACAATTACCCACTCCGCTCCCGCGGTCCCCTCCGTCTCACCGGTGGTCCTTTATCCCCACGCCATAAACCATCTCCTTCGCCACGTTTTTCTCCACATCCTGCCATGTCTACTCCCATGCGTCCACTACCCACGGACGGGACTATAGCTGAGGAGATCGTCGCGGCGCCCTCAGTCTTCCAGGCGCCCATCCACCCGACAGTCCAAGCTCAGCAGTCCGTGGACTCACAGACCTTCGCGCTGTTTTTGCGTCTCTCCTTGCACCTCTGTAAGCGCGACTCGATGCGCTTGCACCCCTGGAGAGGGAAGTGTGGCATACTCGGTACCACACGGGCCCAGCAGGGCCTGACCTGGTAGACTGAGGGTGCGTATGTGTAGGGCCTGTTTTCATTTCAGCCTAAAATCTTGAAAACGAGGTCCTTCAGACCCTGTTTTGTTTCAGCCTGAAAGCCTGAAAACAAGAGCCTACATGCCCTGAATCTTTTCAGCTTGAAACGGAGGGCCATAAGATCGACCTGCCCTGAAACTTAGGCACCAGACCAGTGTTTTAGCACAAACCGTTTTGGGCCTGTTTTCAGGACAGCCTTTGTTTGAACTTCAACGCCAGGGTCGAGCACGTTTTGGCATTGGCAAGAGCAGCCTCCTGGACGGGCTAGCACTATATAAGATTGGCCCGCCCTATAGGCTGCAGGGAGTCACGAGGTAGTTCATAGGAACTTCTCAGGCACTTCATGTGTAGGAGGCAGGAGTTAGTCTTCAGGATTCCGCAGCAACACTCTGGAGGAGCGTTGCAAGAGTAGTAGTAGCGTTAGCAGTAGTCTTCAGCGTTGGGCGCTAGTAGGAGC